GTATGCCACTGGCCCTGCACCCTTTTCTGCGCCACTCCTCATCCATTATCTGCCGATACACTCGTCGACAGTTCTTCCTCTTCGTGAGCGGTTCGTGTTTATCACTTCGGCGTTCGTTCGTTATAGCTGTGGCGACTCATGGGCCTAATGGGCCCCCTGAAAATGCTGTTATACCGCCGCGCTGTTCTCAGCTTGAGGTGATAGAACTTCTCACGCGGCGTCCGGACTTCGCTCTCTTGCGCCGCTTGTTCTGCCGGGTCGTGGTTTTCCCGGCTTTTCTCGCCTTCTTGGCTGACATCACCTTTTCACAGTAGGTGGTGATCCTCTGGTTCTCGCTGCTCACCAGAGCTCCAACTACAGCCGAGTACAAGTCTGTTCCGATGACGTCTCTTAGGACGCAGCCCTGCTCCTCGAAGCGCGGGCATACCTTACACTCCACCGACGTTTCGGCGTTTATTCAGTGCAGGTACTCATCACAACATTTATATCCGATGAGCACCTGCGTGATTCTGAATGTGAGAGTCCGTCCAACCAGGCTTTCCAATTGGTCAGGATCGCTTCCACTGCTCGTCGATGTCTGATACCATTATTTATCATTTCTTTCTTTCATTTTAATTACACCTGCTGTTACGTTGTATGCCTCATCCGCATCACCTCCGTCTTTGCCGTAACTCACCAGAGTGCTCAGATCCAGCGATACACCTTCTGCCAGCATATGGAATGGCACCATGCTGGCAAGTCTTGTGTGATATTGTGCGGTATATCGCCACTCGGCGCAGGATCTTGTTGCTGCTGTCTGTGAAGTTTCCGGATCAGATTACCCCTACAGATTGCACCCTTCAGAGGCACAGGATCATCGACCTCATTACGCTGGTGTAGAAACGTCTGATTTTCTCCTCTGGGTCTCCGATGTCAGGGAGGAGGCGGACCAGGAGTACGAGCATTCCACCGCGGAAGCCACGTGAGTGAAGTGATTCTCGAAGCTGAGGCTGTTATCCAGTGTCAAGATACTTCATGGTACGCTCCACCAGGATGAGCTCATCGCCCACTTTGACCCAGGACTGCGGTAGGCGCCTCAAAACGGCCTCTGTTTTGTGCGCCACTACCTCCAGTCTCAGCTTTTTGAT